ACATTGGCAGTGCTTTTCTCACATGCAAGCCTCCATTCCTTTGCTTCTGATCCGAAAGCAGTTCTATACTGGAAAGTGTGCATGACAATTCATCCCCATGGCAATGCAATTATGTAGATACAAGCAACTTCGCATACCTGGATCTTCCAACTGTGCCACATTTCTGCCTTTTGGCTGATTTTTTTGGATGAAAATGCAGAAACTTGTCACAGTTGGAAGATCCAGGTATGAGAAACATCATTTAGTACCACGGCCCAATATGGGCGGTGGACCTAGGCTGCTCCAATAATATGGTCTGAAATAACCTCTAGACTGCAGCTGAATCTAGTCATTAGCTGGTAAAACAGCCTCGTTTTTTCTTCGGGTTTTGAAGCATTCAATCATGGAGATATAGTTTGTGTAGGGAACTGGTGCGACAGTCTCGACGTGACCAGTCTCTGTGAGCCGAAAAAACCGGAGGACCCTCAAAAAAAATCGGGCAGATCAATCGATCAAGGGGGTTTGGGGCTCCAGGTATTGAGTCACACCCATTATAGTGGATTGAGAGGACCAATGTGCACAGACCCCAATGTCGGTGGTTTAGTAGTGAAGCCCCAAGTTTTCAGGACATCGGTTTCGGTCTGTGCCATCGAACCTCATGAGAACCACTGTATGCATTTTTGATCTTCGTCCGATCAGGTTGGTGAATGGCGGATGATGGATTGTGTATGAACATGCAGGCCTTTTCCTGAACCAATCATTGGAGTTGGTTAGGCCGGTCGTCGAAGTGCAGGCTGAAATCACCCGTTTTTTCGCTGACTGGTGGACTTCAATCCCAACCCCAGAGAAGCCATGGCAGAAAAATCATGTTTAGGATTTGGATACTTTCCACCAAGCATAAAATTGGATTTTCTGAGTGAACAAGAAAAACATACATCATCCCCAGAAAGGGTAAAAATCACAAAACAAGAAAACACAAACACCATCCACCTTCAAACAACATGTTTCATCTGGTAAACAATCCAGGTAACCCACCTGGAAAAAAAACGTTAACATCCAGAAAAAAAACGTTAACATCCAGCCATCCACCACCAACCTGAGCCTCGCGTCACGCGGCGAGACCAGCGAGCGCCTACGCAGCCGCGAACGGCGCGTGTTCGACGCAGCTCAGGCGCTGCGTCGGGCTTGCGGGCGGACATGATCCAAGGATGGCTCAAGGCCGCCTGGGGGCACAACCGGAGCATCGGCGGAGCATCTTGGCGGAGGCGGCACGGGCGGAGCTCCTCACCAAATTAGCCAAGGTTTATTCGAGAACATTGGTGCATTTCTCTCGTTTTAAAGGGGAAGGGAAGGTCCTTGACGCATGGTCTGATGACTCCTCACTGGAGCCGAAGCTTCTTCGTTGGCGCATCGCTATGGGGATGGTGAGCAACACTGCTTCGCGAGCATGGATTCCGACTTTTCGAGGCGTTCAGTCGTAATGCAACAGATGATAGCTTCGTGGTATGAGCTTTTCAGCTCACCACATGAACCAAGTATCTGAACGAAGTGTTCCTCTCGTATCTGAACTTCGACTACCTGTCGCAGCTATCAGAGTTCCTCAGGGCGAACTAGAAGGATGTATACCCGTTTGGATTCATTCCCAACCATTGGTTTTAAGAACCATTGTTTTACTAAGGATTCTTAAACTACACCAGCTCAACCGTTCTTTTAATGGTCTTTGAAGGCTAGGGTATATACACTGGCTTTGAAGTGCTTTGAATATCAGTGACCCAAAGCCAAAAATCACTGATTCACCAACGAGGGTCAGGGTCTGTCTTTGTTGTTTACATTGTGTTGGGGTGTTGGGGTTGGCAGATCGGTTGCGGGAGTTGGGGAGTTTTTTTTGCCGAGCTCACTGGCTGATTAGTTACGTTCCAATGCCGAAAGCCTCCGTGTCACGCGCCGTGTCAGCCTCCGTGTCACGTGTCGAACGGAGAGCAGAGCAAGAACGGACTTCCGGAAACCCTCCGGTGGCACCCCAGCTTCCCCTGAGAGGTTGGATGGGTAACCCATCCACCCCCCCAAAAGAAGAAAGCAGTGGATGACAAGGAACCTGGGGGTGAGTGTTTCAACAAATGATGTTCACTCTTGAATTGGGCGGTTTAAAGTCCCACACTCCCAGCAACTTGGAAGGATTTGAAGACTTCCTCACAAGCCGGGATCCAAACTCAATGCGAGTCGACCAAATGGTCGCGTTCAGAAGGCATCAAAGGGATGCTCTGCACAAGTTCCTTTTCGAAGGTTCCGTCATAATCCGGGTCTTCGCTCAGAAAGAACATGCCTACAAGAAATCCGGCCTTAACCATCACGAACCACTTTCTTTCTTCCAGCACGCTCCACTCTTCTGTTTTGCGCAAAGTTCCGGATGTCAGCATGGCAGTTTTGTACACACCTCTGGTGAATGTGAGCAAAAGGCGTGAACATGATCCAGGATGTCCAGGACAAACGTCTCCCTGCGCGCGCTTGCAAGCGCGCGAAGCATGGCGCATGTGGAGATGCGACGAATCGATGACTGTGCCGCAACAGACCGTTGGAACAATTATCACGTGCAGGCACAGACTCCACAGCACTCGAGAAAGGCACTGTTGTACTTGGCATAAATCAAAACACCCGGGCCTTTCCATTCCATTCCTGGCAACGTTTCATCGTGCGAACCAGGTTGGCGTAGTCTCTTTCGCGCTCTCCAATGGAGTTGGCGTAGTCTTGCGCGTCCCTTGCCAAGTTGACACAGCCAAACGGGCCATGCTTTCCCCAAGATGCAGGTCGCAATAGTACTGAACACGTGAGAGGACAAGTCAGTCCAAGAACGGTTTTTCCTTTTCTCAAGATTTTGCCAGTGTAATTTGGGGTCAGCACACCTATTATCGGTTGAGGGCCCGGCTCCCGTCACCGATCAAACTCAAACTAGCAGTCCCACGTAAGTCGATTGTGTCTCCGGGTTTGGAACGCTTGGACGTGGTCTCTGCAAGCAATGCAGGGTTGACAAAAGCGACAACTGTGAGACAACCAAGATTCGGCCAAAACATCAAAGCGCAAGGAAACACATGCCATGTCGGGAGAAGTCTAAATGAATCTCAATGAGTTGTCTAAATGAGTTGGCCCCACTCATGCCTGTGCCACACCTTTTGGTCGCGCAAGCGCGCGGTGAGCTCTTTTCAACTGTTGCAGTGCCAAGTCTTCAAGAATGTCTAAACGCTCCATGGGACTGCCATATATGCCTACATTGACCCCTCAAACCACCTTAATGTAGGCATATATGACATACATGGAGTGTCTGGGTTATTCTGCACATTTTTGAGCGGGTCTTGTGTGGTGACATGGGTGTTGCTCCGAGGCTCCGAACATGTGGACCTTTCATATCGGCTTCTGATGTGGAATTACCCACGCGCTGTTGCTGGTCTGCTTGCCGAGTGGCTGAGTGGTGTTGCGCAAAGATTAAGGCACACTTTGTACCGCGCACCAAAGCAGCAAATTGAGACGGTGGCGACAAAAGTGGCGAATGGTTGGGTTGCCCCGTTGGTTGCCCTGTCGGCAAACATACGAAGGTGGTCACGGACCAATTAACTAAGCCCTCTGACTTGCTGGGCCAGTGGTCTTTTCTGCATAAGCCTCCAACGCATCTTACACTGGAACCAGATGACCTGGAGATAGGGTTGCATTGTGGGCCGGAATTGGCTCTCCGGAGCGGTTCCTGTCGTGCGTTCGTCTCATCTGGTCTGGACGACCATCTGAACAAACAGAAGCCACACCGAATCAGGTCGTACCAGCCCACCGAAGCCTCGTTCGAGTTGAACAAGTTTGGAACAAGTTCGTTGGTGAGGGAAGTTGAAGAACGATGGATCCGTAACTTTGGTAAATTCAATCAGGCCTGAGAGTTATAGGTGCAGAATTTCCTTTGTCTTGATGTTTGCCCTGCATGTTTGAGCTATACTTGATGCTGCTTGACCTCTGCTGGAGTGGAGCGGGTTGCAAGGCGAGGATGGGACTTCGAATGCCTCGTTGGGACAGCTTCCGATCGAGACAGGAGGATCAACAAAGATCCTCTTTAAGCGATCGCAGGTGTTTCGAAGGTGCTTCGATGCGAGCATGGGGCGAACACGATGGCCCGGAGTCGTCGCTTGTTTCTCGACTCTGGCGGGGAAGTTCGGGGCCCCTGCCAGCTGCCACCTGACGACCGTACTGATTCAGTCTGATGAAACCGAAACGAAAGGTGGTCTATGGTGGTGAATCCGGTCCATGCGCGGAAAAGAAGACCCTCCACCTTGGATTTGCTTCATCTCATATCCTCAAATTAATTAAGGAACCAGAAAAACCATCGATGATGTTCGGAAGGGCGCACGACTCAAGATCACCCGACTCTACCGAAAAAGGACCACACCCACAACACCCCACGCGGGAGAAAAACCAACGACAGAGGGCCGACACCCGCCGTGTGGCGCCTTGGCGGTGGTGCGTTTGCGAGGCTTTCGTTGGAGGCAACCCTTTAAGAAGCTCACCGTCTTCGCATCGATGTGCGCCTTGGCACCGGACCGGTCTCAGACACACCGGGCCGGACCGTCCTCCCGGACCTGGTGGGCGGAAGAAGGGTCGAGGTGAGGGCGGGACGAACGTGACATGGGCCAAGCTGATTCACCAGGCTCGTGAGTTGGATCAAAGACCAGGACTGGTGGATCAGCTGACACGAGTCGGACCTAGGACCGTGCCCAGAAAGCACCACCACCTCCCTCAAGAGTCGATGAGATCGGGTTGAAGGACTTGAAGGACCCGACAGAACTCGACCATCCCAGTTGGGTACCTCACTAGAGTCCTTTAGGCTACCGTATATACCCTAGAAGTCCAAAGACTGTCTGTATTCGCTATATTTTGACCGGCTGGAGTAAAGGAAGTTCCCTTTCAGTTCCCCTAAAGACCATTCTTTTTATAGTCTTTTGACTCCCAGGGCTATATATAGGTATCATTAACCTCTCTGAAAGTTTTGCTCAAATCTTCAGTGGAACTCCATTCTTTGTTTTGTTGAGGAGCTTTTGGTGGAGGTCCACCAAAAGCTCCAAGCGAATTGGCACGGTTCCGGCTCGCGCTCTTCGGACTCCCAGCCGAGGCTCATCGGACTCCCATTCAATGGTGCCATGGAGGACGGTAAGCAGAATCTCTCGGACGTTGTTGCCGTCGAAGGGGTAACGGCCATACAAGGTGAAGTACATGAGAATACCAAAGGCCCACCTCAGACCGGCGGTTTCGTTTTCTTCTTGGCGACTCTGGCTTTTTGGTTTGGCATTTGGTGGTGATATGCTGATCTGCTAAGTGGCTTGGAGATGCTTGGAGATGGTTGGAGATGGTTGGAGATGGTTGGAAGACGTGCCACAAGACTTGACACCCATTTCTTGCTCCGCTCTCCATCTCCAATCGCGAAAGTACACCAAGTTCCTCGACCAGGAAAGGAAGAAGCATGTTCCTCGACCACACAGGAGAGTCCTAGGGAGTAGTTCTTGCTGAACATGTGCTGAACATGTGCTCAAACCCTTGACGAAACTCATCGAACATTCCTGCCCAAAGTGCACGGAAAAAAAACAAAAAAACAAACCGCACCCCTCCGCGTGTCTTTTCTGTTTTCCTTTTTCATGGCCCTTTGAGTGAGCCAGCTTGTAGCTTCTCTGTCCATGAATTCCATTGCACCTACAAGTTCATTCCTCCCGATCAACGGATCACCTGTCATCGATCCTCTAGACGGCGCCCTTGGCGCCATTTGGACTTCCGGAACCGCCGTACGTCGGAATTCTGGAAAGAACGAAACAACACAAAACCTACAGCAGTCACGTTCGGTAAGGGGTGCGGACTCCATGGAGGAAGACGGGCTTAGGGGTGCCCCGTCGTCACATCAACGGCTGCATGGGGCGAGCCATACCACCCAACTCGCTCTGTGACTCTTGGCACAAGAATCTTCCGTGGTGCAGGACATGTCACCCAGTTCGAGAAGAACGGAACGAAATCACGTCTGATCGAAGCAACACCAGGTCGGAAGACCAACGAAAAAGCACCAATCCCTTTACCTCTTTGGACTTCAAAAAAGACAGGTCTTAATTCTTTTGGTGCGAAGAATGGACTCTTCGACTTTGCAATGAGTCCAGCATGGACCATTGAAGGTCCGGACTTTCCACCAGAGGGAACAAGGATGGGAAAGTTGATATAAACATGATATAACCCCGTAAAAATTTGTGCCCCATCGTTGATTTCATGGTTTTGTACCGAACATACCGAACAAGATCTCATTTTGTTAAAAGGACTTTTAGTGGTCTCCCAAAAGCATTCCCCCCCCGCATGCGTGGCCCACGCCACTGACCCACGCGATGGCCCTCGCGGCGAAGCGGCATATCCACCCGATAGTCGTATCGTTGGCCCACTAATTCGGGAGCCATATACCTGGGAGCGCAGAGCGTTTCACGATGGAAACAGGGAAGCAGGTCGACAGGTTTTTTCCGTCGGTGACCGAGGATGTCTTCCAATGGGCAGTGTCCACCATGGGAGTGTATTTTGAAGACCCCCTTGGGTTTTGCCAGATGTTAGAAGGTTTCCCATGGCTTCTCCACATCTCAGGAACCATGTTCAGACAGGTGGGCTTTCTCCTCCGTGCCCTTCCTGCCCTTCCTTCGATCTTCGATCTATGCGGCTCAGAGACGGATTCGACCGACTAAACCGGCGACGGAGGTCGAGGCGAGGAGAGCGAGCCACATCTCCAGACCCCACCAACAGAGGTTGAAGGACCCTAGTTCGACTATCCCAGGCCAGGGTACCCCAGGTTATGCGTCCTAGTTCAGGTCACTTAACCTCTCTTGGCATCTGTGGTGGTGGTGGCGAGTTGTGAGCCTTGAGCCTTTTGGATCGATCCTTTCTCTTGGCTTCACATTGGTCCAAGGTCATCTGGAGTGAAAGAACGTCGCCCAGGGCTGGAATGGTTCAGTCTCTTTTTGGTGGCTTCCTTTTTTTCACGGCCACAGAACTTGTAGGAGCCCCCCAAAACACCCGAATTACGTGAGATTCTGATATGGAAGAACATTGAACTGTTGACAACTCGAGGCATACTCATCCCCAAGATGCCCCAAGCCGGCGACGCCGGTCTCCGCACGGATGACTCCGTCAGTCATAAACGGTCATGGAATCTGAACTCAGAACTTCTAACCCAGCCAGAACTTCTACACCCAGAACCTCCAAATACATGGTGCAAAATCCAATGTCCGAAAAAAAGCGCCATCTACTCCTATCCCGTTCGGTCATGGGAACCCCATCTGCTCTTCGCAGTCCGCTCTCCTCCGAGTAGTCGCCCGGACGAAAAGGCTTCCAGGGCGGACTCCCAAGGTCCGAGGGTTCAAAACTCCTGTTTCGGGGCGGTGAGGGTCGATGATGGATCGGGGAGACTTAGAAGATGAAGAACAAACCAATAGTCCGGTTCGGTGTCCCTTTGCTTCAAAGTCCTCCTCAAGCCCCACTCATCCTTTTTCGCACCCCTTTTGTGCGTCTTGGCTTGCCACTCAAAATCATTCAACATCAACATCTTTATTATGCATAAAGCTTCATCTCACCACTCACCATTACTTCACTCATATACTCTGTCACACACTCTCCCTTTCGATCGTGAATTCAAGCCACTGAGGTGATCCTGAGATCTTATCGAACATCTCGCCCCGCTGAAACCTCGGCGGTCTCTGCAGTCTCTGCCCAGGTCTCTGCCGACTCGCTCGCGAGTAACACGAGAACTCGAGAGAACCCAGGTACCGAGGACTCGGCGGTGGTTGCGGAGGGGACTGGAGGGTCACTCTTTGGGTTGAAGATCCGGACGTGGCGGATCTGGATCTAAAAACACAACACCAGCAGAGATGCCCGGTGACATCTGAAACACATGCTGAAGCACCCTCAAAGTCCAGTCACGACTCTTTTTGTTTACTCGTTTTGATTACGCTCAGCCTTGCTCCGTGGACTGACTGACTGACTGACTGACTGAGCATGCTGATTCAGCTGATTCTGTCTTGATTGTGATGCTTTGCCACCCACGGCACCAAAAGCCCACAGGTCTACACAGTAACATCTGGTCCTGAAAACCTCACCGGATAATACTAAAAAACATATATTTTTATTTTTAATATATAATGTGTATGATATATATAAATATTATAATATATATAATAATTTGATTCTTGTATGACCAACTCCAGCATTTGATGAGGTCGTTCACTGACCAACTTTGACCTACGACCTGGTCCCTGGTCCCGCCCAGCGACTTGGCTGCGATTCCGAAGTCGATGATCTTGACCTAGCTCCCAACGCCACGGTTGATGCTGATGTTAAACACATGCTGGAAGATGCTGGAAGAAAGGTGGAAGAGAAAACCTTTAAGAACTTGGCAAGTGGGTGGTTCTTTTTGCTCCATGAAGGTCATGGAATTGGGTCATGTTCAGTTAGATACCCCGGCCTACCATTGATTTAGATTGATTTCATGCTTCAAATTCCAAACAACATAAAGAACCGAGCCCTTTTTGCATGTTTTTGCCAGGGATCTTACATGAGACAACACAAGGTCTTCCCCAAGTTAACACATGGTCCAACGAAAAAAAAACCGGGAAGCTTCGCTTCCAAACCGGACTCTGCCTGTTCTCACACACCTTTTGCTCTGGACAACCGGACCCAGCAGCTCTCTTTTGCTCTGGAGCAGATTCACGTAGATGTCCTACCCTCCGACGGAAGTCCAGGCTAGGTCACACCGACTAGGTCACAGATTCACTAGTTTGGAATCTCCTTTACTTCGGTGGTCTGTAGACCTCTAGGGTACCACTTGTTCAACTACCACGGCCAGCCGTGTGCTGGCTGTTGATCTGCGCATGGTTGTCAAATTCTTGCTGGGTCAACTTGCAAAGGACTATATAGATCTATCTAGCTTCCAATCCATGCAAATAGCTTGCTGTCCTACATATTCCTACTAAGTCCGCCATGTTCGCCCACCAAGAAAAACTTAGAAGCGAATGAGAAATCATGAGAAATCCATCTCCACATACTACCTGTGGCAGTTTCCATGTTTGCCAAAGGTCCGAAGCTTCTTCAGCTCTTCACATTTCGTCAAGACCACTTTTGGTTGCTCTGCGATTGTACCAGGACCCACTGTCGGGGTGGTTGATGGATACCCCTTCACCTCTAAGGCGCTATCAATGGAAGCCCAGGATGTCCTGGTATATACCTATTAGCCTATAGAACGTAACTGACCTCTATTTTGACCGCAGAACGTCCCTCGTGACCTGGAATCCTCCACCGCCCCCCCCGCCCCGGACGTTGTGCGGTGCCAAGTGGCCACCGCCGTCGCAGACCATTCGGTCAACAGCACGTTCTCCGCTTTGATGTCACGGTGCATCACCCCCTTGCTATGCATGTAATCAATGCCACCTGGCGCCGGCGGAACATCCGATGATCATTGCTGGGCACGGCGTCGCGAAGAAGAGCCATTGGCAGATGCTCCCAGGTACCAGCATCAGTGGATGATGGTTAGGTTGTAGGCCTTGTTCTAAAGTAGTGATCTTTGTTTACGGGTCCTGTTACAGGAAATAGGATAGACCCCAGATACGCCATACATGGAGCGTCTAGGCCATATAACCCTCATCACCAAAGCACATCCAACACATCCCCACATTCCTGGGGTTGATGAACAGTTGCAATCATGAAAGTGCTTCAACTTGAGTTGGCAGTCCAGGAACCGGGGAAAACTTTTGAACATACCATCCCATGCCGGATTCACTCAGTTCGGAAACATTTACAAAAGCCCCATCAGCCCTAAGCAGCCCACCAGGTCAATGGAAGACCAACTCCTGTTCGCCACATCTGCCCGCTGCCCTCCGCTCCCCACGCGATGACCGCGGGCCTAGAAGCTGCTTGGCGATGACCGCGGTGTCAGCTTCAGAGAGGCGGTCATACTGGCGGACGCTGGGTCTCCCCGGTGGCGGGAGGGGAACCTGCGACGATCTACCAGGACACCCTGTTTGGGGTGTCTATAATTCGCTCTCAGAGGTTACAGGTATTATATAAGGCATGTCGATGAATTAACTACTGTCTCTTAGGTGTCCTGGTATGAGTCATAAGATGTGTAGGCTGTTCTGACTCAGTGTCTTGCCTTAATCACTTCAGGTAAGACTCAGTGTCTTCCCAGCAATCAGAAGCTATATGATCACGTGGAGACATCCGAATCACCGGACCGGACGAAGAGATACATGGATTCATCTTCCCCAATGCCAATGGATTCATCACTATCACCCAGACACGGCGAGAAACGGAGCTGCCGATGCCGGGAGGCCAGGGGAGTTGGGGTGGGTGCCAGGGGGGTCTGTCTGGGGCAGTCCTATGGCAGTCCCATGGAGTATATCCCCTACAACTCCAACCACCTCCTGAGGAGGTGGTTGGGGTGGGTGCCAGGGGGGTCCATGGAGCGGCAGCGTTTTTGGTTCCAGTCCCATTCGTCGTCCATGGGTCAGTCATCATGATTCATCCACCATCTTCCCCCCCGTCCCAAGCACTGCAAGAGATCTGAGGACGTGAAGTAGCATGCTGTTTCGAAGCTGGAGACCCCCCCAGCAGCCCTGGAGACCCCTTGAGCCAACTTTCGAAAGAGCTCCAGAGGACAACGCATGCGCTGGGTGTTTATAGGCGTCAGTGTGAAGTCTGTGAAGTCTCATGTGATTTCATGTGACTTCAATACAGCAATCTCACATCCCAGGTGTTTTTGAGAGATCCAATTTGATCCAATCGTTCTGGTCCCACGTCAGCGCCCCATGTCAGATCAGATCTGCACGCTGTATCTTGGCATTTCATGATCCAACTCGACGTTTTGGGGGGGCCTCGTTGATCATATCAAAGAGCTCGCCGCCGCGACAAAGATCCATGACCACGTAGAAATAATGAGCTGTCTCCTAAGTGCTGCGAGTTCGCACGCTGCAAGGTCAGGACGTCCGGGGCGAAGTCCAAGGTCTGTCCAGTGAGGCTGACCCACTCAGCTTGTCTACGATAAACAGGTTAAACCGTTAAACCTTTTTCAACCCTTTTCCATCTGTTGGATTTGCGTGGGGTGTCACCAATCTCTCAAAAAGTATTGCAGGGCCACTTTTCCTGTTTAGGCCTCAAAGGTTGTCACCACTAAACACAACATTGCGAGGCCATTTTCTTAAGTCAAGCTTGATCTAGGATGCTTTGGTCTCAGGCTCTTTTTGACGGATACATCTGAACTGGCTGCACATGAAAGAAACACAACCCTGAACGTTTCGCGGAATGACACCGAACCGGCTTCTTCGAGGGTGTAAAGCCGAAGCCTTCAACATCCTTAACATCCTTCAACTGATGTTACAATTCGATCCAAAAAATGGTCCCTTCAGTATAAACACTAGACCTAGCACACCTAGACCTAGCACTGGAACATTTGGGCTAGGTGACTGACAGGATTTCCTTCGGGCAGAACGCACACCGTCACCAACCTCGCGAAACGTTCCACCGGACCTCGTTGGACGCTGTTGGGCTCAAATGTCTGGACTACAAAATGCATTGTTGGGGTGGCTTGCTGACGTGAGATTTCCAAAGGAATGTTGCTATAACATGCATTTCCACATGCCTTTCCACATGCATTTCCATGTAGTGATAGTGAGTATACGGGCAGTACATAGGTATATATATATAATATTATTATATAGACAAAGGTAGCAAGTGCAAAGCATGACAAACGCCCAGTACCGGGGGCAATGAAACGCAAAGTGTGAGCAAGTGGAAAAGTAAGGCTTTTAAAGGAGGCATCCTCGGATTGTTTGCAAGTGGCTACCCAAATGGCTACAAACATACATGATACCTACAAAGTGCTTCGTTCACTACAAAATGGGTTTTCCAGCTGAGTTCGAAAGTCACGAAAGTCTTGTCTCAGCCTACATCGGCCTTACTACAAATTGAGTTTTCCAAGGTCGCTGGGACCTCTCCTTGTTTAGGTCAAGAATGTTGCAACATGCATGGTCATTCACCGCCTGGAAAGAGCCATTGCTACAACATGTTCCTACAAATTGTTCACATTTTACTATGGAGTTTCCAGTTCAGAGTGGCCTCGAGCCACCCCATTTCATAGAACCAAACGGGTACTCCCAACTCTTTACCTCCGGAATTGTTGGAAATCTTTGTGATTCGCTCTGCGGCAGAATTGTCAAAACTAAAGAGAACTAACACGTTAAAACAAACAGTGCCTGATAACACCCCGTTTCCCCGTCCACACACAAGGGAAAGGGGCGTTCTGGGTGTTTGACTCGCCCCTGGCCAGGTGGGCCACATCCCAACCCCTGGCCAGGCCCCCAAGGAATTCACATGTTTCTTCTTGTTGCCTCCTGTTTGCTCATTTCGAGCGCTTCAAAACTTTTTCATGGGGTTCCTTCCGTGCATCCCCAATAGTAAAGAGTGGGAAGAGGAGCAAAACACACTACGGAACCAAACCGCTAACCACTCCCAACTCTCTACCTCCGGGGCGGAAGGTATGTTTTATATATGCCAAGCCTGTGCAATCTGTTGCCATTGGAGTCTCTCTTGCTTTCTGTTTCCCCTGAAAATCCAGCATCTAGATTTCAAGATGCGCATCCTGAAAGGCGCAGCCTTCTTCGGATCTGATGTACCTCTTTTGCATTCCTGTACACCTTCTTCAGATCCCTTTTATCCAGTTTCGAGACCAGCCTGATAAACCTGTCGCGCAAATCGATGCGCCGCCTCCGTGTACTGCTGGCGTCCGTATCCTCTGCGCTGGCAAAGGCTGTATCGTGCTCTTGCTCTGCTTCAGCAGGAGCTGGAGGTTGAGCGGTCCATTGCCCTGACCATTGCAACTGGACGCATTGGTGAGACGGCTGGAGCATCCTGCCTCTCTGCCTGGCCTGGATTCTGCTCTTGGCCAGGTACCCACACCTGGGTTGCGTTGCTTGAAGGCCGCCACGGCCTTGACTTGTGAATCATAATCATAGGTGGATTTGGTCACTGGACAAACCCCTCGTCTATACTTCTTGCCCTGAGATTTGCCTTTCTGCACTGACCTCCATTCAACTCTCCATTCTTTCGATTCGAGGAAGTCGTCGACTTGCTGCATGGCTGCAATTTTCAACCCAAAACGAAAGAATGCTGAAGGAGGCTTCCTCGGATTGTTGCAACCTTTAGCTGTGTGTGTTGCGTTAGTTTTGGCATTCTGTAGCGTTCCTTCAGTGTGAAGCATTTTGTATCATTTTGTAGTGAGCTGCAACTACCATTTCTTGCCCGACCTCCCGAGGCGATCATCTCAGATCTCTGTGGAATTCTCTGGCCCTCTGCCTTTTCATCCATCAAAAACAGCCCAGTTAGGCAGAACTTTGGGTCTCTTTGGGGGGGACCTTTCGCGCTGACCTCGGCCATCGGCCTCCCACCCTGGCCGGTCCCAGTTGAAACCTGGTCTGCTTATCAGTGACAGTTTCTCCATGACCAGGTGAAGTAAAAATGAGACTCCCCAAGATCCGCCCAAGATCCGCCCAAGATCCGCCGTTGGGGGGGGCACCCCCCGAACGATGAAAAAAGCCGCCGAGCGACATACACGTCCCACACTCGCACGATGTTCCTTAGAGGCCAAGGGCACCGCGAGGGGGACAGCGACCGGCGCGAATCGGATGGCGTGACGCCAGCCCAGCCGTTCGGTGGTGGGGTGCCGTTCGGCGAGGCGGAGGAAGAAGCTGATGTGAGGAACCGGAGAAGCAAACCGAAACACCATCGATGCCAAGAAGTAGTATAAGACATATAGTGAAAACAACTGTTGTTGTTTGGTAGACATATGACACCATTCGGTCCAGTGCCAACGACATCAACGCACAATCACTTAGGATTTGCTGTTGAGGAAGCGGGCACAAAATATACCACAAGGAAGGGGAGGAACCCATAGGAGTCCAAGGCGATGTCTTTTTTCGACATGGTTGACCTGGTTTTGTCGTGTAAACATCGTTAGTAAGACAGCTTGGTGCTTCCGGATTCAGCCGCCGATCGAATCAATGGTGGGGCCAGCAATCCGAGGGCATCCATAGGGAACAGAAACATCTGATCTGAGAAGTATTATCTGAAAAGCATCTGACATCTGATCCGGTCAATGTGATCCATAGCTCACACTCCTCCTGTCCCATCCGAAATCCGGAAAACATCCGTACCACTGGACCGATACCGCTGATTTGCAGGTGACATTTGGCACCTGGCACCCGCAAACCTGGATCTGCACCTTTTCAATTTATGGCGCCTCTTGGATCTGCAGACTGTTTGTGACACAATACACAAGAAGTCTGCATACCGCTCCTCTGGAAAAGGCAAACATCTTCCCGTCCAGTGGAGGACACCTACAGGGAACATCGCACATCATCCATCGTCCGCCACTCTCCGCCCACGCTTTCACCACTCCGCCCTTAGCCTTCTCTTTGCCCAGCGGCGTGTGTTTTAAGGACCGAAGGAGGTCCACCTCTCTTCGGAACATGACCAACCTGAAGGCGAGGACGCCGTGCCGACACGTGTGCCGTGTGCCGTGCCGACGTGCCGTGTGCCGTGCCGACCTGTGCCGTGCCGCACAGAAAACGCACCATGCTTTGGAGAGGTGGTTGGGGAAAAGAAGGAGTCGGATTTTGGGTCGAAGACATGCGGATCTTGTTCTCAGTTCGCTTGAAACATGCTGAAATCCATCGTTAGGTCTGAGCCTACTGTGATATGAAGAACCCCAAGGGGGAACACACATACCTCCAAATTACGGGTATGTATGTATGTGTCTGGATACTGGGAAACATACACACTTACCTATAGAACATTAGCAGTATGATGCAGTATGTAGGTATGCATGTCTGTCTGTCTGTATGTATGGGTTCGCAGTGTATCTGCAAAGAAAAATATCATAGGGTGGCAATCTTAGCCAACTCCATGGAAGTTGTTTGACAAGGAAAACCTTGGTCACCTCATTGCACCTCATTCTACAGGTAGACTCATGAGTGGATTAGGTTCAGCAGTTCCCCTCTGGCACTACTAAGCTAATTGAGGATTCTTGGTACAGTATGCGCTTTCTTCACTGGCTCCCAAGCCGTTTCCCGTGGAAAATGAAGGTGAACCGAACAAACCTCCATCTTTCTATGTTTCGTGGGGTGTCAGAAAAACTCCCTCAAGTTCGGTTAGGTGATCCACTTTTCCCGCTGTGCATCTCCGGAAGGACAACGAGATGAATCAATGCCTGGATCTGACCAGTCTATGCAACATTTCTGCCTAACTTGGCTGTTTCTATGCATGAATAAATGGCATACATTTAAATTTGTCAGAAACTGGTCAGATCCAGGTATGTATCGGGTCTCACAAGGTATTTTCTGTTAACCAAGGGCTCTCGGCTCGCATCCATCCCATCCATCATCCAACCCATGCATCGCTCGCACGATGTTGGAGCCCAGCAATTCGCCACAAGAAAACATTCCCCAAACACTCCATGGGACTGGTATATATGCCGCCCCATTGACCCCTTTTCAACCATCCCAATGTATGTAAATATGACAGTCCCATGGAGTGTCTGACCGAAATGCCATGCACCCTTGCTACGCTACGCCGCTGTGCAAGGACCCACCAGACCCCTTACCCGGACCCGCTCCACCCGTCCGCGCTCCACCCGTCCGTCCGTCTGGGCGGGTCCAGGTCTGGGTCGGGGGGCGAATCGGACTTCTTCTGTCCCTTCTCGGTGGTGTCGTCCACCTCAGTCGGTCACGCGGGTTGTGGGACGAGAATAGGGGTTGTCAGGGGGTTGTCAGGGGTGGTCAGAAACCCGAGCAGAGCATCTAGATCGAAGGGATGGGTGCTGAGCATCTAGATAGAACTGGATCTTCCAACATCCTCCAACTATGCT